TCTGTTTTTTTGCAGTTATCATTGAAGAAGATGTGTAAACTAGTACAATATCAGGTTTGCATTCGATTATAATGGTAATAGGCCCTGTTCCGTAAGTTTTCATTTAGTTTTAGTTTTAGTCTTAATCATTTAGTCATTTAGTTTTAATCTTAGTGAGAGATTTTGTGAGAGTGGTTTCAGCCGTTCGGAGTAGAGTGGCTTTAAAAATACGAAATCTAACTTTATGTGTAGCTCCGTAGAATAAACTGTCCAATTAAAAACTCTGATCACGACTTAGGACGTTCAATGGGAAATCTTTCTTTAGCATGCAAAATTCGGTGGCACATCGCAATTAATTATGCATATAACCGTGGTTTCGAGACTATTTAACTTTCATCGAAAGTAATGGATGAATGTTACTTTGTGCCAAAAAAAAATTATTTTTCATTATGTTTATGAATTCCGTACATTACATTACCGCTTAGTACACATTACTGAGGATTTGAAAGTAAGAACTTGCTTAATTATAATTGCTATACATTACTGCAACATTGCTGAATGCTTAGTACACATTACTTGGAATTGAAACATTGTTACACATTTACATTTATAGAACACTAGTACACATTTACATTTAGTTACTCATAATTTAAGATACACATTGTTATTTATAAGTTCCATGACTTGGCACACATTACTGAACACCTTGCTGAATGCTTAGACTACTGTATAGAAGAGCCCGAGTTGAACTTCCGGAAAAGGATGTACGTTTGTAAACCTATAGTGTCTGTGGGGCACGGTACAACTCTAAATGTGGGGCGAGCCGAAAGTTCTCTCGGGAGACTGGTCGTAGGGAAAGAGGGTGGGAGACCCTGCCACCCATACCCCAGGGGTGCTCTCTCTCAAAATTGCATGGAGGTAGGAAGTAAGATGGAGTCGCCCTAAACAGGTTTCTCCCGTACCCTGCTCTGAAGCACCGGCGATCCCTACGTGGTGACCAAAACATTGGGTCATTTACCATTGAGTTCTATGGGATTTGACGCGTTCGGATGTAAATATTTTGTAATTACGTCGTAAATATACATATAAATGTATATATTTATTTTTTCTACAACACTTCAGAGTCCTAAGTATGTGAAAACAACATATTTTTAAACAACATTTCATTCTGAACGGAATTAAATGCTATACTTTTCCCAGGACAGTTTTCTCAGAATGGTTTAATTTGAATGAAATATTTTCACAAAATTTTTCGTTAATTACATTAGAAAAAAAAATTAAGATAATTCGATTTTATTCGGTTAAGGTACAAAAATTAAGATCAATGTTTATTGTATTATTAATATTAAAATTATGCATTATTTCTTTTCTATAAGCTTCTTCCTAAAATACTTTCTTAAATATGACATGATTTTTTGGCTTCTGAAGCATCTTTTAAATCGAAAAATGTAAGTCAATTTATAATTAATGCTCTATTCGGTTCATTTTAAATTAGAGAATTATTAGGAATTAGCGAAATACTTTAAATAAGTATTTCGCTAATTCATAATAATTAAATAGGTATTAAATAGTACTTGACTTTCTCTGAACATTTCTGAAAGGGAATAAAAAAGTTTTTTTTTTTTTTTTTTTTTTTTTTTTTTTTTTTTTTTTTTTTTTTTAAGTATTATTTAAAACTTATAACTGAGTTACTATAAAATGTAAGGGGAATAATTCTTTTAATTATACTTATCAGATTTTTTTTACCCTTCATTACAACAATACATATTCCAAAACTCTTTATTACGTTCTTAAGTGCGCATCTCATAGCATTTGCTTTACAATACCTTTTAACAGATTGCTTTCCAATACGAACAATTCTTGCTTAAATAGTTTTATAACGTATTTGTCAACAGGATTTCAATTTATGTTTACAATTCAATATTAAGGTTATTATATATTTAAATAACATTTATAATCATTATAAATTAGATACATTTAATAATTAGATTTCTTCACAGTACTTTTACAGTTGTTTATAAGTGAATAAATTCTTCATTTCAAATACATTTATAAATAATTTAATGAATATTTAAGTATTTTGTCAAAGGCAGATACATGCTTTTTGCAAGCACATGCATAAATGCCCATACATATTTCCTATTTTTCATTTCCGGCATGTGCAAATCTTTAATTTCTGTGCATTCACTATATTTTTCGTGTATAGTAATTTACACTAATTTAGCATACACCCGAAAGTTTTACATAAAAAATATATGAATATAATTTGAATGAAAATTATAAGTATTATTTTTAATACCCATTCAAAGGTCAGTTTTTCCTTCAAAATTCCTCCACGATGGCATCTCTCTCTTTAGGCAGATAGCCCTTGCATGCGTTAACTCTATTTAATAAAAACTTAATCTGACCTATGTGCCTAATTACAAATATTTTAACATACATACTTTTATATTTATAAAACGTGTAAGCCCAAAGTGATTATTTTTCAGATATATAAAATTAAAACGATGGGTTTAAAATGAGCAGCAGTAAAGCCTCTCCTCTAAAAAATTTTAAAAGGTACATGTTTCAATAATATATGGATGTGAAAAAAATTTGTTTTATTTAAAACATTTTGACGTTTGGAAAATAAAATAAAAGTAGCGAATACTCTATCAAGGGTATCGAAAGGTGTATACAATTTTAAATGTACCGTAAGGTATTTTTCATTCTTTAAGCATAACATTTTTCTTAAAATCTGTATTTTTGTAGTGCAACAGCTTATAATTTTATAAAAGAAATTCATAATCAAAATCGCTGTTGTTAGTTATCGAAAAATAACCAAGATGTGATTTTTGCGTAAATGTCACTAAACTATACAAATTGCTATTATCCATCACACTATGAATGTTTCTTTCATGCGAAAGTGTCCCTTTTTCGATTTCTATGGAACTCTCGTGTGTCGAAATACTATCAGAATCTTGTCAAGGGAGCTTCTGAATGTGAACAAAGAACACCCCATCTGGTGACCCAAGCTTCAAAGCAGTGCTTCACTTTTAGCGCGGGTTGTCCCCTCCTCCCTTTCCTACCTCCATGCAAAATTGGGGGGGGGCGCAACTGAGCTAAAGTCGGACTGCTCAAGGCTCTTACCAACGACAAGCACTTCCGCTGCAATTACCCAGACTTTGTGAAATAAAACTTATCCCCTTGGTTTGACCGGGGGTTATGCCTTCTTCGATAGCCTCTAAGGGTTAGGGCGTTTAACTGTACAAAAGCAGCTTCGATCTAGCTAGGTCTGGGTGCCCCTTCGTCCTAGTGCACTGAGTCCTTGGTACGATGAATGTCGTGATCTTCAAAACATATTTCCGGCAGTAATATACTGCGGATTCTAAATTTAAAAAATACAGGTTTTTAACTGCATACTTATTTATGATAAATTACGATAGATATCCATTATTTCATTAATAACATTTATTGTTGTCTCATATGGCCGGGTTCTTGCAACTTAATGCATGCGCCAGGAAAGGTCAATTCCAATGGTCATTTAGCCATTTCATCACTGAGAAAGTTGCCCAAGGTAACTTCTGCACATTTTTGATGGTGAATACCCCAAAGAACAAATCCGAGGATTTCTTACCATTTTTCTCTTACCACAAATCTATCGAGAGGATTTTTAGGTTCAACAATATTTTAAATACCGCATACCACAGAGATAATATATGCCTAAAAGGCCTTCTCCTGTCCTCAGACCCAAGCTCAATGATACGGCAGCCGATACATCGCTAACCGTTATACCGATCAGTGCGGCGGCTCATTAGTAAATGTTAGATGGGGTACTACATACACGTGAACTAATAGTAGCCCTGCAAATGATCATGCACATTAATGAGTAGACTATTGCATCCACAAAATAAAACAATAACCTAATTATTGTTGGGTATGAATACACAATTATACTTCCTACAGTGGTATCACGGACATTCCACTTATTTGGTTAGATATTTTGGTTCTGACCCATTTTTATTTCATTTCTACATAATGTACATTGGTTATTACGTCACTTTTCAGATATTAATTTTTGATATCAGCTGACATTTTGTATAAAATTGTGAATAAAATTACATGTTCTCCAAAAAGAAAATATGTTTCATTTTCGTTTAAACATTTTCTCCAGAACGTAACTTCACTCGTATTCCGCCTTAAGAATCCATTAGCTTCAGTCAATCAAGAGGGCAAACATATGATAGCTATCTATTTCTTTAGCGATATAGATGCACATATTCTTTAAGTCCCATTCCATCATCTTTTACAATCCTATCGCATGGTCCTTAAGTAGAGAAAAAATCAGTGGTTTAGATTTTACCCCACTTTCGCCCAGTGTTTTGAAAGGAGATTCACATATCGTTGATTAAGGAAGGAAATTTGGTGAAATGTAACTTCCAAAATGACTGCAAAGAAATTTTTAGTAATCATTTCAAATGTTCTGAAGAGCAACAACAGAAAAGAATGTTTTGGAGAGTTTGGGAATCGTTGAAAAATATACAATGTCTGTTGAGGAAACAACTTAGAAACATCACGTATGTTTGAATGAAACTGAGAGCAGAATTGTTAAAGGTTATTCCACAAATCGAACCTTTGTTTCAAAAACATTCCTTCAAAATTATATGGTATTTACTCTCTTATAGATTTATGTCCTGTATTTGCTTTAAAATACATTATCAAAGTTTTAAAATAATTATTTCTCAATTTTATTTATGCATTTAAATATTTTGCTCATTTATACGTAGAAAAGACAATTAATGCAACTCTAGATAACATGTCAACCGGATAACAAATCATTCTTTTTCTTTTTTGGTTCTAAAAGCAACCTCTTAAAGAAGTTTAACTGTATGTATATACATTCTTAAATATGGAGTTAAAGTTGTATGTTTCGATCATTTTATGATTAAATAATAAAGAAAGCAAAATGTTTGTACAAAGTAAAGGAGAGGTTCAGTTACCTTATGAACAGCTATGAAAATAATAAAAGTAGAGTTCAGTACCTTTTGTTGTAGTAGTGGTAGTTGTAACATCAGTAGTAGTAGTAGCAATAGTAGTAGTAGTAGCAACAGCAGTAGTAGTAGTATTAGCAGCCTCCTCAGTAGTAGACGTTGTAACAGGCTCTGTTGTAGAAGTTGTAATAGCTTCTGTAGTAGTAGTAGGTGTAGCCGCTTTTGTAGTAGTTGTTACTGAATGAAATGAAAAAGTCTTCTAAAAGTATTTTAAACTTAAATTACAAAAATTACAAAATTATTATTATTGTAAAAATATAAAAATCCATGTACTTCTTTTTTTAAACATCCGATTTTAAATTCAGTAGATTTTACTTAAACATACTTTTAGCCATTCCAAGTAAAATTTATGTGTAAAAAATAGTATATAAATAAATGTACTGTAACATGACACAAACACATAATTAACCAAAGCTATAATTGCGTGTTTACAAACTCCTAGTTTACTTGCAACGATACCGCTTGTCATAAAGGACGTGGATAAGGTCGAAGTATACTTTTAATCATTATTAGGTATTAAATATAGAATTTAGGTCTCATATTATGGCCCAGTGGGCGGGATCCCAGAATTAGCTACAGTCAAAGGCTATTTACTGATAACCTTTTTTTTCATCTAGTATTAGCGCTATTTGTTTGTAACGTTAGTAGTAGCGCTATTAAGTTGTTTTGATGTGTTAATGGCAATATTTTCCAACATAGTATTGCCATGAATGAACGCTGAAATTAATTGCTTCTCTGATAGCGTGAGGGCCGAATCCTGATTCTTCTGGGCACATGACCATAAACATCTCGAAGAATCTAGCGAAAACACATTTCGAGCTGAACTAAACACTGGTATATTCTTCTCTTTTACGATAAGCAAAATTGCTGTACATTTATTAACTCAAACTTCTCTTGAGTATTATTTCCTACATGATGAAGAAAAGATGTAAAGTTTATGGACTATTTCTTCTGTGGATGAAGGAATATGGATTAGTTTAAGAATGGGAGAACTTGGAATTTATTGCTTAAACCTTTAAATAAAATTTTAATCAGTTTTTAGTTGAAGGTATGGTGATCAAACTAAGCGCCTAACACTGCTAAGTAGATTAAAGCAGAGAGTTAGCGTTTAACTCTCTCGGATTGTAACACTCTCATTATTTCCTAGATAATATTAGGCTTTATTATTGCAAATAGGAGCAGATTTAAAGACAAAATAATAATTTAATTGCAATGATAAGATAACTGTTCTTGGCTGGAAGTAGTAAAAACCAGTAAATATGTATTATTTCAGTCATTTTATTTTATTTTGTTACATATATGATATACGTTGATTTATGTTCTACAGTGGAAACAACTTCTCAATACAGTATAAAGCTAGATAGAGTGTTTCGAAAAGTGCTAAGGTTGCACTTAGTACATTGTATAGATACTAGCATTATATACAGAGAATTAAGGAAGACAAGTTTTGTCACTAATCAGAGAAGTGAAATAAACTCAGATTTTAACTGAGAATAATAGTCTAGGATAGCTTGCTCGATTTCAACTTGCTCAGTTAAAAATTACTCAGTTAAACTTGCTCGATTAAAACTAAAAACTGCTCGATTAAAAATACTGCATAAAATTGCATTCATATTGTTTTATAATGATATATATAAATTATTTATTCTTAATTTTGCTTAATTAGAAAAGCTGTCTGAAATTTTGTTCTCTTTATACGAAGAAATAATTTAGTGAAAACAGCGAATAAGAAAACGAGTGTTTTTAAATGATATATGAAGACACAAAAGAAGAAACTTTACAAGATGCTTTAAGTATTTAAAAGACGAACTAAAAATGCTTTTAATTCTTCTAAAGAAATCTATAAATATTTTTCACTGCTGGTGGTAGAGTACGAATTTAGGTCTCATATTATGGCCTTCAAGTTCTTTAAGGAATGTTGCATATGTGATGTATAGACATACGATATAATTTTATTAATAATTAATTGCGCATAACACTTTAAACCTGTTGAAGTCGTTTCATTTGAAATGCTTTTCTGTTAGACCTATTAAAGATAGAGTACTGAGGGAGTTTTCACTGCTGGTGGTAGAGTACGAACATATAACTTCAAGTTCTTTAAGGAATGTTGCATATGTGATGTATAGACATACGATATAATTTTATTAATAATTAATTGCGCATAACACTTTAAACCTGTTGAAGTCGTTTCATTTGAAATGCTTTTCTGTTAGACCTATTAAAGATAGAGTACTGAGGGAGTTTTCACTGCTGGTGGTAGAGTACGAACATATAACTTCAAGTTCTTTAAGGAATGTTGCATATGTGATGTATAGACATACGATATAATTTTATTAATAATTAATTGCGCATAACACTTTAAACCTGTTGAAGTCGTTTCATTTGAAATGCTTTTCTGTTAGACCTATTAAAGATAGAGTACTGAGGGAGTTGTAAATTCTTTAAATATTGGGTCATCCGGAACGTTCTGTGATTTTTTTATGATATATGAAAATGAAGTAGTACAAAAGCATAAAAACATTTCATGGAATCATTTTTTTCTATCTGAAAACATCTTTTTAAAAAAAGTCAAGAGATTTATTTGTAAAAACATGTTATTGAGATGATATTGACAGTCTCCAAAAAAATAAATTCCTTTCCATTCAAAGAATTTTGAAGTCACCTGAACAGAATAAAGTCCAACGGAGCAAGATGCAATGAATATGAGGGGTGACACAAAATATCTCAGCCTTATTCAATAAATCTGTTTGACATTCATTGAAATGTGGGGTCAAACACTGTCATGATGGAAGAAAACACCTCGATAGTTGGGCAGTTCTGGAAGCTTTGCTTCAATTTCTGCTTTTAGAGCTGCTGTCTGGAAACAGCATTTTTCGGAATTTATAACTTTATTTGGTGACAATAAGTCATAGCGCACAATTCCTTTGTAGTCTAACCATTCGAAAGCCCTCTCTAGATGTTACTATAAGGTAAATAGTACAAGGTATTTCTCCCTCATTCTTAGCATGCCTTCATAGTGCAATAGTCAGCACACTCGGCGCTTATTCGGGAGGTCCGTGCTTTGAGTCCCGACGAGGTCATTGCTCACTTTTCACCTCTTCTGCTTCAAAAATACCTAATGTCTCTCCAGTGACGCTCGAACTAAGAAAGTGATAGTTGATGATTCTCTACCAACAGAATTTGGCAATTGGGTCCCTTAAACCCCAGTTGCCCTTTAAAAGGGGAAGAATATAAAGTTTATCTCCCACATTCGTAGTATGCCTTCGTGGTGTAATGATCAGCACACTCGAGAGGTCCGTGGTTCGGGTCCCGACGAGGGCATTGCTCATTTTTCACATCGCCAACTTCGAAAAAATCTAATGTCTGTACAACATATGTAGCAATAATACGTTGTGAAATAAGAATATTAAATTTTTCATATGATTCAAGATAGAATTCTATATCTCAGAGTATTCATAAAATTTAATAATGGTAAAAAATATTATTTTCATAGGAACAAGATTACGATTTTAAATTACCTTTTCTGAGAGCTTCTGTAGGTACTTCTTCCCGTTTTAACTACAAATAAAAATAAAAATATAACTTTATGTTAAAAATATTATATTAAAAATTGTTTTACTTAAACTAAAACTATTAGTTTAACCTTAAAACATGAAAGGCAAATTTTCGTCCCGTCTTCTAAAATTTCAGAATTCTGAATCAACACAACAGTATAATAAAATCAACGAAAACTTATTTTAGACTTCAACTAGGAGTATTAAACTAACTTATCACCACTTTACTCTTGCTCCTTGCGAGACTAACACACAATACATAAATTGAAATCATGTACAATCCACGAATTAATTTACATTTTATGATTTATCTCGGTAATTTTAATAAATTACTTCTCGTATGTAGCAGGAAAAAGAAAATTCACCAGCTAGAAGATTTTCAACTCGCATGCAGTCACAGGAGTTGTTTTAAGGTCACTAATGATGCTAAGTAACATTCCCTTAAAATTAAATACTTTCTCCTTTATAGATCTTCTCTCTTTCACCCATTTTGGTGGAAGCAGATGGAACAGTAAGAGTGTAACTTAAATTTTTTAACAAAAGAAATCGTGTTAATTAAAACAAACATTATAACGTCATTGACAATTTTGATTTACTTTATATACATAATATTAGAAAGCTCGTCTAATATCCCGTATTTTTAATAAATAACCTTATACAATTGCAATAAAAATAAGATATAATTTTTCTTGTGAAGATATTTGTATTAATGCTAATTTTTTAGGATTCAGTTAAGAAAGCAAAGTTACTCATCTGTTTCGTGATTGTTCTTGGAGTTATATATTCTCTTTTCGAACACTATTTTAGCTTCATTTGTTATGGAAATTAAAGCAATAAGGTTTCAAGGACAAGAACCAGAACAACATGAACAGACCTGATACAAATCTGAAACTAATACAAATCTGAAACTTTACCTGATACAAATCTGAAACTTTCCCCTCCAAGAAACTTTTCCTCACTTTCACAATAATGTTTACTCTGTGCGTTAGTCAAACTTATGTAATTCATCATATTTATCTTCTCAGAAGTAGAGTTTATATATCCTAAATAATATAATGTATGAAAAAGTAGAGCTAAATAAGTGTATTAAAATGTCTCGAGAACTGAATAAAACTGTTTTCCGACCAAAACATTCAAATTATTAAAGTATGAATAGATTCACCAGTACTAAAAAGACAGAAATAATAAACGCATAAGTCGTCTCTGGGAAGACTACAAAAGAATTAAAACATTTATAGTAAAGTAATAGAGTGTGATGCAACCCTCTTGACCTATAAATAATCGGCCTCATGGTTAACGCAGCACACCCAAGCTTTATAGTATAAGATATACATGCTGAGTAGTAAAGTATATTGTATTATTCTGCAGTTTCTCTTCTATAAAAGGATGGAAATGTCTCTTGTGAGCCGAGTCAAGGGTTTTGTATGGATATTCTTCTCCATATCGACGAAACCGTGCCAAAATGAGGAAACTGGCAATTTCATTCTTTAACGGAAGGCTTAATTTAAAGTTTCCCTACCCTCTTAACGTAATAAAAGTTGGGTTATTAAATCTACTGTATAATTATCATGTATCTTTTGAAGCTGGATTACTCACAATTCCAAACAATTTTATAAACTGTCACATTTTCTGAAAAAGATCACTTTATAGAGGACGATGTTCAATAATAATATTAATTTATCATACTTATATAAAACATTTTACTGTATTTAAAGCATAGAATATGTATCTTTCCTAGTGCACTGGGATGACTTTCGTCCCGGGGCTAAGTCACAAAGAATTATGGAATTATCTTGTAAGGTTATAAGGTACTTCTCCCACCTTCCTAGCGTGCCTTCGTGGTGTAGTGGTTCTGCACGCTGGACCGGTATTCCAGAGGTCCGTGGTTCGATTCCCGGCGAAGGCGTTTACTAATTTTTCATCTCTCCGGCTTTTTCCAATTAACCTAATGTCTCTACAAGGTTAAATTTAATTAGCAACCAAGTTTAATTTTAACTATCGTTAATTCCGGTATGAGAACCCAGAATTAACGACATTTAAAGTTATTCTGACGTGAAGACATAAAAATATGAGATCCTATTTCCCAAGGGGAAGAAGTATACGTATCTTTCAAGCTTCGTTCCAGCTCCTACTTTAGTCCCAATGTCTTCGATTTCAGGTAGAAGACTTCTGTTAGTACATGCACATATTTTTCACCGGTAAAATACTCACTTTGTAGATCTTCATGCCTGGATCTTTACAGCTATCCACGGAGCAAACTCTCTCATCCACGGAGTCAATTAGTAGTTTGCACTTACCATCTTTATAACCAAAATGAAAGCAAAATTCATTATCCTGAAAGCATAGTGATGCGCACTGTATTTTCGTGTCCACAGAATGTTCAGCATATACCCACGCCTGATCTAAGACATTGGTAACATTCAAAATAAAGTTGTAGTGTTCTCCTTCAGAAAATTTTATCGAAATGAATACCAACAGCACCAACTTTAGGACAGTCATCTTGAACGACAAGCTGTGGTATGTTTGTAGGAATATCGAATAACACTTTTTATAATAAAAAAGAATACATTAAGCTTTGACGCTAATTTAACACGGATATTCAGATTTGAGGTCTGTTTGCAGCATAAACAAAACATTTAGTTAGTTTCACACGCGATGTTGTATTTTCTACATGATCGATAAAACCTCAAGTGAATATTCAAACTCAAAGGCAGCTCAGTGGTTTAAAATTCAGATAGAGAATCTTTTGATTATCTTTTTGAATCCGTTTGATTAAATTCATTAATAAAAGTAAAATTTTCGTACTTCAAGGAAACATCATTTACTTCATTTCCAAAGCTAATTCTAAGGTAATCGAAAACTAATATTACATATATGTGCAATGTATATTCAGGGAGAAAATCAGGCAAAAGGGAAACATCCTTTTAAAGAAGATTTTAGCTTTTGGAGGGTAAATATTTTATTATATTTTCGCATTTAAAGTATGCTCTACAATACTTTTTTTTTTTTTTCAAATTGATTTGCATACAAATTTACATGAGAAATTTAGCTAAATTTTCTTTTTTGTGTACAGAAAATAATACTTCTTTGCATTTAAAAGGAAATTCTGCTGTAAGGTCCCTTTTTCCTTTTTCGGTGTTAAAAAATGTTTAACATTACAGTTAATTAATACACCCATCCAAAAATCCAGCTAATTAATATTTTTATTTTACTCATTGATATTTTCGGGATGGTAACTGTACATTAAGTTTAATTCTTATAAATAAAATAAAAGTTTAAAAATATGGGAGAAGTGGTCATTGTTAGAGCTTTAAATTACAATTAAACTAAGTGGAAGAATCTTTCTCTATTTGGCGCGAAAAGGAAATTTATTAATTAACATCATATGATGATGTAATGCAAACCTTTCGTTCAAAGTATCATTCTGCTGAATTTCATTTGATTTATAATTAAGTATAATAATAATTAACATGTTTTTCGTAACCATTCAGAGAAAAACCTTAGGAAACGGTTTTCCGGCTGATTACCATAAAAGAAAGTGAGAAAGGATGGAGAAGAGAAGTGCTTGGAAGGAAAAGGAAGGTGAGGGAGAAGAGAAAGTGGAGAAGTTGCGGAGTTGTGGAGCTCCTATTTTTCCAGAAGCGGCTTTTGCTCACTATTAAATGATGACTCTAATTAACTGAAATTTCATGAGAGTGTTAAATATGAATTATTAGCATATGAAAACTTTACAAATTGTTTATGTGAAAATATTTCGGCGTGCGAATTGTAATAAAATTCTAGATTAAAGATTGTTACACATTAATAAATCATAAAAGAATATCATTGACTGGCATTTAAGATGATAAATCACTGTTGAATTATTACAATATTTTTATTTCTGATCCTTCAAGTCAATTTGAAAGTAGCGTTAAATGCCCAAAATTTTGAAGTAAAATATCTCAATCAGTTTCTGTTGTACGATGGTTAAACGTTTTGTATTTAATTTCTAAGAATGAGCATAAAATTTTAGAAAACAAATTTATACGGTTCCCTGAGGATCGATGGACCGTACAAAAAGTTTAATTTCGTAATTTTCCTAAAACTGATATTTTTATTTAAAAATTTCCTTACTTTTAAAGATTTACACTGAACATTCTAACTTTCATAAAATCCGGTAGAACTGGGTAAAAGCGTACTTTAGTATTTTTTGCTAATGAGAAAGTCGATATGCTGGCGAAGGGATCCGCATTAAGAACAGATTCCACTTTGAGTAAACAGTAAAGAAATTTCGTTAATCAGACAGTAACTGGGAACGAACATTTCTCGGCGTACTTAAAAAGATTTCAAGAGAAATTAACAGATGTGTGAGCAAATTGCATAAAAAAGTAGAAGGCAATGCATGGCATTATAAAATATACGGAAGTTTTAAGAATGTTAAGGGATAAAAACAAAATTCCATTTCCTAGATCTGCGGCTCTTAAACATTTTAAGATACCCACCCTATTTTAGGTGCTTGAGCCATACATAATTAATAAGTATTGTTAAGAATTTTTGTATATATGTGAATAAGAGTGAAGTTATCTTTCAAATTGTAGTATCTTATGTGTAATGTAAAATGAAAGTTTGCCGACGACGATTTTGGCAACTAATTTTTGTCGCCAAATTTGACAGCATTTCCATCCGGTCTATGTGTAACTACTTGATTCCTATATGTTCTTTGTACTGCTCCGTGTTTAACGTTCTTAGTAGTTTGAAGTATAACGACTAATTGTGCTCTGTGATACTATTAGAGTTGTATGATAATTTTCGTGGAAAGTTCCAGAACTGTAAATTATTTCTTTTGGAAAAATTAAATTTGATTAAGCTATAATCGGTTCTATGTGCATTCAGTCTCCTCTCTCCTTTCTGTATGCCTTCATGATGTAACGGAAGTACACTCGGCGCGTATTCGAGAGGTCCAGGCTCGAATCCCGGCGAGGGTTTTGCACCTTTTTTATGTCTCCCGCATCAAAAATCTTGTCT